CGTTAAGCGAAGTTCACGCCTGTCACCCTGGCTGAAATTCATAAAAATATATACTTAAATAATGTCATGCCTTTACACCGTCATATCATTGTTAATTCTCAGGTCTTTTCTTCTTACTGTTTTACATTAACTCAGCGCCCAACTACTGTGAAAATAATCGTCCAAATTTAGACGAAAGTTCTTACTCCACTTTATATTATACTAAGTTACGGATTACTAACTTATTATATTGTTTATTAGTAAATAAGGAATATCATAGCACATTTTACTAGGAATTGATCAATATTTCTTTTTGTGTATCTTCGTTATACTGACAAACATAGTAAAGATCGGATAGATGATCTATCTTTATATTTCTATGGTAAATTGTAGTGATAATCCAAAAAAATTAGTTTATGAGTGGATTTGGTTGTAGTTTCTTTCCTAAAATCCCATCTGCATTGCATACCATAAGCAATTATAAACATATCGTTTATATATGTAGTGCCAGTAAAATGTCATGGCACTTGCCAAATCATATTAATTAGCTTTACTAAAACATTCTCAATAACTCTTTGTATAACTTTAATTACCTAGAGTCCAACAGTATTGAACGTTTCGTAACTAGCAGTCGTTTCCAGAACCTTAAACTATGAGTGCGTTGAAAGTTTATTTGTTTATTTATTTGAACACATAAATATTGGTACAAGGGGGGCACCAAATATATATGCGCCACACAAAACAATGATAATTTGAAGAGAAGGAGAAAAGAGAAAAAAAAAGAAGTAATGAACGTGGGGAATTATAAAAAAAAAAAGGGAGAGAGACAGAACAATGGTGGGGGAAACGGAAAGGTACAGTCAGAAGAGATCTTTCAGTTAAGGAAGATACAACCACTTTTTATGAAGAAAGTAAAAGAAGGTTACAGCAGGATCGCCACTGGCTTCTATTCTGAGCCATATCTGATAACGTCTCTAGCCACTGTGTTACACCGTCTCTCGGACCTCAACCTGGGAGTCGTGAAGGACCAACAGAAGCTAGCCCTTTGCAGCTTTCTTTCATACCACGACACCATGTCATATACTGACCACCTCTCCGCTTTTTCCAACCAGTCCCAGAGTCGGCAAATAATGCACGACGAGGAATTCTCTATGACGACATTCGTAGAACATGTCCAAGCCACCGAAGTCGGTGTTTCAAGATGGTGACACCAATTGAATTATCGTCTCTGTGACCGAACACTCGATGCCGAACCTCTGCATTACTGACATGGTGTTGCCACTGGATGGCAGCAATCCTTCGGAGACAACGATGATCAAACACAGAAAGTCGTCTAACATCCTCTACTTGGAGAGGCCAGGTTTCACAAGCATAGAGTGAAACTGCTCTCACCGTCGCGTTGTAGATCCGACCTTTTACAGCCAGACTAACATCACGAAGGTGCCAGCGATGGCCCAGATTGGCATAAGCCGCTCTGGCTTTCACTATACGTGTATTGATCTCATCACTCACACCACCCACCACCAGCACTTATGCAGCTACCTAGATACACGAACTTCTCGACTACTTCTATCTGCTCACCATCCAGAGTGAGTACAGGATTAGAATCCTGCCAGTCTTGTAGAAGAACTTTGCACTTCGAAGGTGCAAACACATACCATACCTACGGACACTGATTGCCAACTGATTAAGTGCGGATTGCATGGCTTGGGCATTCTCGCACAGTAAGACAATATCATCCGCATACTCAAGGTCGAGAAGTCTTTCTCCAGGCAACAGATCCACACCACCATTACTTACATCCGTCAGAGCTGTTTCCAGAATGTCATCGATGGCAAAGTTGAAGAGGAATGGTGAGATTGGGCAACCCTGCCTAACTCCACTGCTTGAATGGAATAGTGGAGAAAGGTGGTTGTATGCCCTCACTCTGCCTGAGGTGTTTGTGTATAGGGCTTTTAGGATGTTAATAAACTTCTCAGGCACACCGTTCTTCAATAGACAATCCCAGAGAACAGTTCTGTCCAACGAATCGAAGGCAGCCCTGATATCAAGAAACACTACGATTGTTGGCCTTTGATAAGTATGGTGGTGTTCTAACACTTGGCGGAGGGTGAAGATATGATCAATACATCCTCGACCAGAACGAAACCCAGCCTGCTCCTCGCGAGTCAATCTTTCTCGGGTTCTGAACAGCCTACGAAGTATGACGGAAGCCAATAGCTTGGACGCAATCGGAAGTAGACTTATCCCCCGATAGTTGTTACAGGAACAACGTGAACCCTTTTTAAAGATAGGGACAACTATCGACTCATTCCATGACGTTGGTACACTCTCTAGTTCCCAGATCTTTGTAAACAACGTCGTCAGTCCTTTAGTCAGAAAGTCACCACCATCTTTAAAAAGAGCCGGGGGTAAGTCGTCTGGGCCTGGTGATTTGTAACGTTTCAAGAGTTGGAGTTCCTTGCGGACTTCCGCCTCATTTGGTGGATCAGTCGTCACCGGCCATGGAGGGCAGAACAGTCTGACCGATGTTGCCGGAGCAGCAGGCCAGTTGAACTGCCCTTCAAAGAATTCTGCCCATCGTCCAAGACGTCGATGGATGTTAGTGATTGGCGTTCCGTCATCCTCGCCGATTGTTTCGCTCACACCAGACTTCTTGCTGCCAGTGGCTCGGATGAGTTGGAAGAGCTTCCGGTAGTTACCAGATGCAGCTGCTGCTTCCAACTCACTGGCACGCTCCGACCAGCAGGCTTCTCGGTCCTTACGCAAGCTTTGCCCGATTTCATTACGTAACAACCTTCGTCTGTGGTCAAACTCACGGTCACCCGGAGTAGACCGACGGGCTTCAATCAGTTGTAAGGAACCAGAAGAAACCCAGTGCTTGTAAGCGGGACGTTTCGCAAACCCACAACAGTCTGTACCCGCCATTTTCATGGCGTCATGCAATTGCAACCAATGCTCATCTATACTTTTCGGTGGAAGTAAGTGTTTGTGTACTTGTGAACCATTGACGATAACCGAAGTGAGGCACAGTCAGGCCGCTACGCCATGGGTTTTCGCGCACATGTAACATATGTAATATCATCATGGTGTTGATCTTACAAACTCTAATATCCAGCAGATTCTAAGTAAGTGACCCAAACAATTTAGCGTTAAAAACTGACGTGAAAATGCGATCAATAGGTACAGGATTTATGTTTATACTCACTACATAAATCACTTGTACATACAGTGTTATCCAGTCCTTTCTATCGTGTTCGACTGAATTACGTTTCTGTAACCGACCACGGTATTTTAAAACAAAAACAAATAACCTCACAAGCAAAATCTTACTTTGGTTGAATAGTGTTTGTGCTAAATCGACGATGCTTTAGTCCAACTAACTTGAGTACCTGAATAAAGACTGGAGCAAAAAAAATTTTGACAAGGAAAATAAAACTATCGTTCAGTCTAAAGAATTATTATTTTAACAAAGATCAGATAAATATAAATGTTATGGTTTGTGTAGTTCAGATAACTGCTATTGTCAGAGATTGTCCAACCACTTATTTATGAAATTTTAGAGACTAGTTGGTGAATTCACCTCAAGCCTCATTGTTTCAGTAATTATCTACTTTATAGATTGTTCCTCTGTGAACTGAGGTATGCCAAATGGAGTTCGTATTCTCACTTCTTCGAAGCATACGTACCTGAATCACTGATTATCCCAAAAATGACGAAATCAGAATGAATACGATTTTGCTTCCTGTTTAGAAATGACTTCCATAGATAAAATTTGTTTACTTTTCTGTGGAAGCGAATGCTATAAAAAGTGAAGAACAACCAGTAAGAGAGCAGCGTACTGTTGGAGAAACCTAACATTTAGGCTGTTCGTTACTGGTTCAATGTAATGTCATTTCACCATATTACTTTAAAAAATCGATGTTTTTTACAAGTCAGTTAGTCCCAATCAACCAATGAAGGGGAAACAAAGGCGAAGAAAGGGTGAATAAAGGGGAGGAAAGCTTTTTCGCCTTTACGTCGTGTATTTAGGGGATATTTGTCGACTATTATACGTAACGTACGTAACATACGTGGCTAAAGGAAGTAGTCCGTGCAATGCTTTTTATTTTGTACTTAATTTTTGATAAACATTTGGTAAAAAAGCTTACTTTATTACTTACATGGGAAACTTGCGGTTAAATGCACATGTGTTATAAATAATACATCAACTGTTTCTTATTTTGCAGATCTTTTCAAATAACAATCAATTGGCGATTAAAATGGAAATGAAAAACGATTGATGCTCAAGATTCTGCTATAATGTTGTACAATAATATGCTTTTCCTTTTAAATAAAATTACTTGAATATATACCGTTTCCCCGTGGATTGCAGTTTTAATGTGGTTTGTTGTGGAAATAAAGGCGAACATAGGAGACCTTTGGGGTTATGCCAATAGTGTTTTAAAAGTTGGATCAAAAACGCAATTCTGTCTGCATTTAGGCGGAAAGTAGACAATTTAGCGACAAAGAGACAAAAAAGGGGAAATCCGCATTATTTCCCCTGAACAGGCGAGAAATAGACATTTCGGCGTGTTTTCAATTTATTTCTTCTTTATTTACCGAATCATTTTCCTCTTTATTTCCTCTTTTTTCGCCTTTATTTCCCCTTTATTAGTTGATTGGTGTATAGATAAACAAGTAGATAGATAGATAAGTAATGTGTCGCCAAAATTTACTTCAAAAGAACTGCAGCTCTGTTTACAAAATAGAGAAGAAACTAAGTATTATCGATCATGTAACTGTAATCCACAAAGTGATAGCTTTCCCGAGCTCTCAACTTTGAGGAAATTTTAGAGGAATCCCCAAATTATGCGTAGCGCATTATTCCAGAATAACATTTCATCTCCATTGGATTATCAAACCTTAAAATATTAAATTACAATGAATATTTGTTAATTTTCACACAAAAAAGACTTTTGGTCAGGAATAGTCTATCGAATTTCATGTCTTGTTTTAATACGTCAAACAGACACGTGACAATGAGTTGTCGGCTTCAAACCACTTTTTCGAAATTCGGACTCCATGCAGGTGAGTTGATCGCGCTGTCCAAAACTTCGATTAATGTTTATGTTCAGTCTTACTGAAGTTAATTGTCTCAGAATAATAGTTTACAACTCGATTAGATTGCTAAAAGGCGTGCTCAAGCCGCCAAAGACTTGAGGTTGCTGGGCCGTCCCAGATCAACCTATTACAGAACGTTGCGGAAGTTAAAAGCTGAATTTACAAAAAAAATATCGGTTAACGAGCAGTGACGAAGAGAACGACAACTCAGTTGTCGTCAAAGAAGTAGGGACCACTGCAGCTACAGAACAGTGTACTATTATTTACTCAGGTATAGCCACTGCTTCATGTAGTTACGTCCAGTGTTCTGACACTACAGCCAACAGTAGTATAGCTTTATTTATTAACAATTTATAGGTGCTAGGATTCCGGAAATGTCTCCAATGAAAGAAGAGGTAGGTAGAATTGTCATTGGGATGATGAAAGGTGGTGACATTACCGTTAAAAAGGCTGGCGACATTCTGGACAGTTTTCGTGTGCACAATCCCGAACTTCCAACATCCGTCCGGAGTGTTCTACTTTGATGCAACGGCGTTAAGCCTAAAATACTGGAATCGGGAACGTACTATCAATTGGGATAGAAATCAAGTGTACTGAGGATTTCCGAAAATTGGCTACGTCAAATCCGTCTCACGAAATCGAAGCTGCAGTTAAACTACGATGGTCTAAGCTTGTTTAAAAGCTCTAACCAACATCCGTGGCTGATCTTAGGTCGCATTACAGGTCCATCAGTTAGTAATGTATTCATTAAGAACGCATGAGGATTTGCGTTTTTTAGAAGCTGCTTTAGATGACCTAAAGTTCCGGGGTCATTTCGTAAGTTGTAACAGGTGTTTGAACAAATTTTAGGTGGGAAGATTATACGAGCTCCTATGTGACGATCCTCGTAAATCAGCGCAAGCTTGTCTACGTTACCTGCTTTCTCCAGAACTGGAGAACACTTACACTTTGCACGCAACCCAAAGTAAGTTCGGTATTAGTAAGTACAAATTTTACTCGACGGTTCAAATTAAGTCTACACTATTGTATTAACGTATTTGTAGGTGCTCTGTGCTTCCGTCTTTGAAGTGCGACCTGTCCGGAAAAGGAGATAATATACTCCATGAGTATAGCAAGCCAGGCTTTCTTGCATGGCTCAAGAGATAAAGTAAATAAACGTGGATGGCGATCCAAAGAAAGTGTTCGCTAAAACCACTTTACATGTTTGTTATAATACATATTACACTTTTAATGCTATTTTTGATAAATATTAACAGTGATACAACTTTTGTCTTGTCCGTCTTGCTTTCAGCTGGCTTCTCAGGTTTTATCAGACGTAACTGTAAGTTCTTTCTTCGCATTATTTAAAACATTGTCATACTGTTGGTACGTCATCGACATTTCACATAACTTGACATTTGACCATAAACTAAAACGTATTTTTTTAATTTTTTAGAACACTGTGAATGATGGTTCAACATCTACGAAACCTGTCCCTCTCACAAAGTCGTGAAAAACATTGTAATTTTAATTTTATTAACTGTAATAAACATTTCAATGAGTCACAAATTAGTCTTTTAATAACAGCGATAAATCGATTAACGTTAAGTTTATTTGCCAATGCGTAATCGACGAAAAATAATGTAACATCCCAGTACGTATGTATTCTCGCTAGGTTTTTCGTAATGTGTAGAGATTTTTGTAGAAGTTTTGCTTTAAAAAAGTTTTGGAGAAAAACCCCAACGTTTGGGGAAATTTTAGGGTTTTCTTAATAAGTAAAGGCGCACTTCCCCAAAGTGTAATAAGATTCTGGGGAAATTTTTTGGGGTTTTGTGTCGTTTTCCTAAAATTTCTCCAAAGTTTGCTGCAGCGGCTTTTCCAAAATGTGCCAAATTTTCCCCAAAATCGGGAGCTTGGGTTGAAACAAACTATTTTCATCTTACCTTCTCAATATCGTCGATTCGATCTCAGGATTGTAACGACTGAAAGATGAGTTAGCGATGGTTATAAACTGTAATGATTTGTGAACATTTGAACATCTGTAGTATTTACACAAATAATGCTTGTGACTTAAATCGATTTCGATGCGATCCACACAGGATGCATATATGCCAACAAGAGTCTGGTCGATTTCGATCCTAAATATCAATGGGAAGATTAAAATAAACAATACAAAATGAGTTTGCATTTAATCTCATTGCACAAGCTAGTAGCTGTTTGGACTCTGTAGCTAAGTGGATAACGCGATGGCGTTTAATGAGAAAGGTACTGGGTCCGAGTCCCGGATGAACATCAAGTTTTGGGTGCACGTATATCCAGCTGACTAGTCCTGAGTTGGATGAGGTGCGCGTCCTAGATTCCTCTGATAGGAACCATCATCTCTGTTTATAATAACCGTGTTGTAGCCGAGTACTCAATCTATGAAGACCAATTCATTTATTTGGTGCAAAATTGCAGTGTCTTGATAAATTATGAAAACCACTCATTAAATACTTCATTTGCATATCTTCCGTCAGTTCTCCCTTTCATCCTTCACCTACTAATTCTATGTTTACTCCAATTCCTTTCTGTTTTTCTTTCAATTCTATTCAATCCAGTCTTCTCAACATTCACCTGTCAGGTATTCCACATCTGATTGGTGTTACATACTACTTATGTTGACAGACACAAGTAGCATACACCACATATGTTTTATACACACCTACGATATTTGTTTTCAATACTGATTTCTTTGCAAGGCATTCCTCTCATTACAAATTCCAAATATTATGTGCTTTGTCGCTCTCATCTAATTTTGTATGCTTTAAATTGGATTATTTACGGTATTCTTTGTTAGAAAATCAATTTAACTACTTTTGTTTATCAAGATACCTGACTGGGCAACCCTAAATTCAATGTAACGCTTTTAAGTGTGTGTATTGTGTTCTCTGTCTTTAATCCTCCTTCAGTCGTGACCATCAGAGTACGTACTAGTCAGATCTATAAATAAAGTGATTGGTTTATTACATTCCATACTACTACGATTATTACTACTGCTTTTACTACTTACTAAGTGGCATCGCGATGCGAGCGGTTATTAAAATGCTGGATATATTTTCAAATAGTGACGTATGTGAATATAACATGAAACATTTGAATTTTGATATACCAACAGAAAAAGCACTAAAAAACGGCAATATCACCACTCATCTCATGTTCATCTGTAGAAATGCACGAAATTTGATGGAAAATATGAGATCGCTAGATAATCCGATTTTACTTACACATGAAGCTCAAAGAAATATTACTAGGCTTTGTAAATTAAATGTTGTGTTTATACGAACTGATGATTCCTTCGTACTTGATGGCCCACTAGTCCCGAATACGTGAATTGGAGCTCATCAAGTTATGCACGCCCTAGGTTGCAGCATTTTCAGTATAGATTTGTCTTGTAACAAATTCTACTAACTAAGGGCACATACATCTCTTAATGTCAAATGCTTTAAAAGTGGCCAAGTCGGCAAAATGAAGTCCGTGGGTCGTCCTACTATACATTTTGTGATGTATTATGCCGAAACTTCTGACTCACGATTGGTTAAAACAGTTGGTCCCGATGTTTATATGCTATGGTTGTATCTTTCTGATGATGGTTGTAGTAGTTTTCCACGTCTCAGCTCCGTACAATAGAACTGTCTTGAAGTTCGTATTGGAGATGGTGAGTTTGATAGTGGATGACAGTTGTTTTGAGTTCCGTATGTTTTTCATCTTTAGGAATGCAGCCCTTGCTATGCCAATCCTTGTCTTTATGTCTGCATACGATTTTCCTTGTTCATCGAATATCCTTCTCAGGTACGTGAAGGATTCCACATCTTCCAGAGTTTCGCCATCATGTGTGATTGTGTTCTCCGTGTTGTATTTAATGATTTCGCTTTTTTTCCCTTGTGTATGCTGAGGTCTACTGATACAGAGGCTGCTGTTACACTAAATGTCTTTATCTGAATTTGTTGGTATGTATGGGATAGAAGAGCTCAGTCATCTGTCAGGTCCAAATCGCCTAGCTGTCCATTGTATTGCATGCTTACCCTCAGATGTCGAGGTCTTCATAATCCGATCAACCACCAAAAGCAAGAGAAAAAGGGAGATTAAACAGACCTGTCTGTCTTCGATCCTCACTTGCAATGCATCTATCAACTTTTGGTGGAGAAGATTTGTAGCTCAGGTGAGCTGAAAGCTCAGAGAACAAAACCCTATCAAAATCTAGCAACTGTCCTCCCTGCACATTTTTGCACTGTACTCCGTTGTATGAGATCCGTATAATTTTGACCATCTCAGAAACTCCATAGTGTCGAAGAAGTTTGTATAATGTTCTCCTGTTCACACTGTCAAACGCCTTCTCATAGTCATTGAAATTGGTCTATAGTGATGAGTCCCGTTCAATTGATCGCTCGACGCAATTTGGCTTGTTCACGATCGATCCTTACGGAATCCGATCTGTTGATCTTGACGCTGGTCGTCTTTTGAATCTTTCATCCTGTTAAGCCATACTCTGTTAAAAACGTACCCTGGTACGGATAGTAGTGTGATAATTTGTCTCTTCCGTGTTTTGGTGAGTAAAGCTTGACTGCCAATTATGAATCAAATAATTTAGAGATACTTAAATTCGATTTTTCATTGGTCTTAAAATAAGCCTCGGATGATTTATGTAAACATTTGATAGTTTCATATGCTGAGTGTCGTAGAGGAATGACGAACTTGTTTGTATGTAGTGATAGTTACTTTGTATATGTTTTAGCGTCTATTTCGAATCAGAAAATACAATATTCTTGAGCGTCTTTATGATTTCTCTGTAGATTGAATGATGATTCAATCATGACTACTAGAGTATTCATTGGTCATTCCTGGTTAGTATACCAGATACAATTTCACTACTTTACCTTTCACAGTGATCCAAAGTTCCTCATAATGAAAACTCCCTTTTGTTTTTTCAAGAGCAGCGTACAAAGTACTGGATAATTTATATAAGAAAATGGTAATCGACTCAGTCCAACCTTCAACATAGGTTATTCCTGTCGTCATATTTTTAAGATTTGATGATCAAACCCTTAGAAGATGTGGTGCTTACAAACTAATAGTATATTCGTAGTTGTTGAAACAAGTGTGCATCATCACTTAAGCTGTAGGTATGTTCTTTGACGTTTATATTAAATAACTGTCAACGCTCCCTGCGGTGCTCTCGATCTGTTTTCCAACAAACAAATAATAATGCAATAGGGGAGCTAAATCAGAAGTATTATTCGTCATTTCGCCTGCTTCGAATTTCAACATGTAAGGTGAGTTTTAGAAGTAAGCGACAAGAAACTCTGGGCCTGTCTTCCTTGCTTTTAAGTACCCGTCAGCGAAGTGTATCTTTACTCGTAAAGAAGGTGGATACCATCCCGTTTCGCTCGGTTTTACAGTCAGACTTTGCCATTGATCTATCCGGGCAATGACTGGTTTTTTACGCGAATGAAATGTATCTTCAACTGGTTGATCTTTTAGTGGTGACCAATGCTATGGGTACCGATCTCTTCCCAGTCGCGATGTAGCCACTACCCTAAGTCAATTAGCATCGCTTGCATGGTGGCGGTAACCAAAAAGAGCATTATTCTCCTCATGATAACATGCACATCTTGGTGAAAAGTGTCAACTAGCACTGAAGATTGTTACAGAGTATTCAGTCGCCTATCTCTACCCATCATCCCAACATAGCACAAGCAATTTTGAATCAGTTAGACTAGTGACCTCAGTGCAATTTGTCTGGAAGAAATTAGTCAACGTAAAGAAAGAAATTACAAACATCGTACTGATTACCGCTCGAAGGTCAATCACTTGTAAATGTCTTAGTCGAGTCCTGGTTGAGAATTCTGGCAGAATTTGTGGCCAACACCTTAACAAACATTACGACCTTGTTGCCACAGATCCTCAACTGTTTTTCATAACCCTATCGAATGTTGACTTAGCAGTCCAAGCACGGGTAAACATATTCTGCCGCGTAAGGATTTTTACATCATGAGTAACGTACAATAACTCCTTTCTTGCTGTAAGTGCAGTTACCACTTACTTGAATGAAGTGGGGCGCAAACATTTATTTATTACCCCAAGATTCACTTGTATTATGTCTGACACCAGAGTTTTTTCGTGCCTGTAGGGAAAACTCGCGCTATTGATAGAAGAAACCAGACTAGTTGTGATGAATGGTTTTTTATTTAGATCTTCGCGCAGTCACAGTGGAGCGTGATATTACCTGTTCAGAGAAACAAAGCCTCGCAACATTCAGTATAAAATAATAGAAATTATAACGCCTAGACAAAATGAGGAAGTGAATGAATACTTGAACTCTATTGTTTTTACCTATGCTTAGTTGTTTGAGATCAACTCTTAAACAATCGACATAAGCTGTTACTGTCTCTTCAAAACGTTACAAACTAATATTAATCGGACTGCTACTATAACATTCGGTAAAATGAAGGAAGTGTACACATGACTCCTGTGAAA